GTTGGTGTGCGGAGGCCTTAAAGTGAAGCTGGTGCCAAGTGTCTTAAAACCTGCATTCTATGTAAAGGCCAGCAGAGGGAGCTCCATTCGCTGCAATAAAACACTGATACCATACAGTCTTAGGGAGAAAGGAGCGAACTTCTCACCTGATTTATTAGTTTAGTAAACAGGTTTCTAATCAGTGTATGCTCTCAATCTCTAGTTTCAAGTATTCTTCCACACAACACAATGTTCATTTAGTAAATTATGGTCAGATTTAGAGTAAAATATATGATAAAGCTGCATATGCTTTTGGGCGCGGCTACCTTGTCATTGACAGGTCACTCAGTTATTCATGAATTATCAATGGCTCAAGGTCTTAACATAAGATAAAATATTTTGTTAATCTGTTGACAATATGCTACAGAAGGAACTGAACAGAACTAATGAGCTACTGTTAAATGTTAACATTTTGTTTTCCCCACTGTACTGAAAACATATCACACCATGACCTCAAAACCGAGGTACATACTGAACTGTGAAGTCTACACACACACTCATTTTTCATATCAACTCCTTTCAGGCTCTGTCAGTTTACTGGGAAGCGTCAGTGAATAGTGATCTTCAGGTCTCTTCAGACTTTCAGTGGGGGTTCAACAGAGAACTTAATGACTTTCAGATACTTGGTCCCAAACCACCTCAGGGTGTCTTGGCTGTCTGTTGTGCTGAAATGTGCACTCTGAAGCAGGTTTCTTTCAAGGGTCTCTGCATCAGTCTCTCATCGTGTCTCCCAGTCCCTGATTCTAAGAGGCATACTCATAGCAAAAAATATTCTTAAAGGGATCCGATTACCAGGTGACCCCAGGTAGGACTTTGCATTCAGGTCAATAAGCAACATTTTTGTCAAACTTTTAAATTATGTTCCTCAGATTCATCTTAAATATTACTTGGCACACAACCAGATGGCTGTAATATCCCTTTAACTCTCCAAGAGCTTTTGTCTAGCTACTCAACCATAAACGCCTGACTGATGGAGTGTTGCAATCACGTCCCTGATCTTGGCCCTTCTTACCAGTCTGCTGTATTTGGCCGGACATTCAAACACTCCTCGGGTCAATGCTTTAAACCAGTTTCATCTCAAAGGTTTAAGGAGCGTTCTTGGGAATCTGGCTCACACCAGCTTACAAACTTTTCTTACAGCTAGAACTACAGCAGTCCCTGACTAAAGACTTTCCAAGTCGACCAACTTGCGAGAAACTCACTCCTCTCCATCTCTCCCTTCATGCTTCTCCTGTCCCTGTCCGAACCCGCTGTGTCTAGTCCTGGTTGGAGCCACTGTAAATCAGGGCCTTGGTCACTGGGAGGCTGCTGAGCTTTTGTTTTTCTGAACTTATCCGACTAATGAAAAGTGTGTCGACTAAGACTCCTCTCATCTTCTACTCGACTATTAGGGGACAGAGGTAATAGTGCCGCTGCTCCACTGTACGGGAGCATTGTTGTATCCCACTTAGTTACAGTAAAAAAAGGACAAAGATTGTATGTCGATATTGTTCAACTGAAGTCCGGTACATCTGTGGAAATACTTCAGAAGTGCTCATTTACAACGGCATCTCTCGACGATTAGCAGAAGGGACAAAAACAGACCAGAAGGCAAGTCCTTCTCCCCACAGCGTTCAGGCAGCCTCTGAACGCTGTGCTGCAGATTCAGACCAAAGTAATAACTGACGTGTTTATCTCAGATGCAGATATGGGACTATGCCTAGGCTAGAGGGTACTGGACTTTAACATATGGACAAAGTTCATTGAGGTCCACTGGAATGTGCCCTCACGTGCATCTGAGTCTGCTGAGCCTGCCCTGTACAAACAAGCACAAGCAGCAGATACTTAGGAATACTTTTTTACAATGGACCATTACTGACATCTGTGTCATTTATTTTTTCTTATTTACAATATTCCAGTATTTAACTTCCTTAATTGTTAAAGTAAGAATTATGGCAAATAAGCCACTGCTGAATTTGTACATTTTTCAACTTAAATGGTATTTTAAATTAAAATTGTTTAACCTGTGGTACCAAAAACGTACTGAAACATGACCCCAAAAGCAAGGTAGATAACCCAACTGTAAATCTTGTGTACCGCTACACTCCTAGTGAGCAGTAGTCGACCGTGACTGATTTTTCAGACACTAATGGCTCTATCTAGTGTTAACTAACGGCACTGCAACATCAACTATTATGTTACATTTTCATTCAATTTGAGGTTACGTTTCAAGCAGTAAACTCAGATTAAGATCCAACAGTCAGCACAACAGTGTATAAATGCTGGTCAGTCCATAAACAATCTTAAGTGACTGGTTGCACATGTCCACTGAGCTACATGTACATGTTTGATAAATGAAACAAAGAAGCCCCATGTCATAAGTCAAGCTCATTAACTTTTATCCCCAGCAGAACCAGGTTTAATATCAGTGTCATCCACGATTCAGACCAGAGGCACTTTATGGTGCCAGCTTACCTGGGTCGAACGTTTAATACACACAGCTGACCCACAATCTTCCTGGGTCAGCAGTCCGATGTGGAAGTTGTACATAGGGGCCAAAGTGTGTGTGGGTGGCTACTACTTTTAGTTAATGATGTGTGACGAAGAGCTCAGGCAGCACAACTCACCGATCCATCTGACGCACTAGCTCCTACTTTGTCCCCTGTGGCGTTCCAGCACACCTCGAAGATCCCTCCTGTCCCCCGGTAGCTGTGGACTAAAGCCCCCGTCTGAGGAAACAAACACATACACATTAGTAATGCTCAGCAACGTCTTTACCCTATGTATTTATACCACCTGTTATAATGGCTATAATATAATGGCTATTGTTCATTAGTGGCAGTGTGATGAGCACCAGCCAAATGCTGGTAAAATATGAAAGTGGTTGGTAGATTTCAGACACAAATTCATGATAGAAAGAATAACTGGTGAGTTTTAACATTTATCTGGCAGTAGCTAATAGATGTTTTATCATTTAAAAGAAAAGGTAAACTTTGCACCCTGGTGTGTGGTTATAATTTGAAAGTATTATCCCAGACCTGAGTGTTCCAGATGTGGACACACTTGTCGAAGGAGCCGCTGGCCAGGTGCCTGCCATCAGGGCTGAAGGCCACGCTGTAGACAGGCTCCTGATGGCGGGTCAGCGTGTGGATACACACACCACGCTCCACGTCCCACAGACGCACTGTTGAGTCAAATGATGCGCTGGAAAGAGGGGACGAGAAGAGGAGTGAGTCAAGTGGCCAAGAGTCATGCCGCATTAAAATGAACTGCTAACTAAAGTGAACATGACCCAGCCTTTTCATTCAATTGTGTTTTCTTCTTCTACTGAGACACAGAGATACTGTCTTATAAATATGTGGGTGGCAATGTCCGTTTGTCAATTCTCCTCAGGGACCTCAGGATGTTAGGGTTGTTCAGGAGGAAAGCCCACTCTTATCTGTCGACCCTGCATTATTTCCTCAGGGTCATTCAAGGGTGCATCTGAAAAGATTCGAGCTGGCCGTGTGGTGACTTACAATAGTCATTCAGCCAATAGGTTAAGACGTAACTTAGTGATACTAACATCTGCAGAGCAAAGTCTGGTGCCTGAGTTGAATAGACCAAGTCAAACCTGAATATTATATGAGCAGCAGCCCTGAGGTCACTGTCAAATATTTTATTCATGAAGTTCTATCAAGGAATGGCACTGCTACCAAGAACAGTGGATACAGAACTTGTTCAACTTATTAAAAATGCAGCAATAAAGATTCATTGAGACTATTCTGATATCGCCTCAAAATTATGAAAACATATTCATGAGAAAATGTAGGTTTTTTCTTAATATTCCAATTTATTTATAGTATTTTTAAAAAAAATAGTGTTTGTGTCATCATTCCTCTATAAATACAAAACTACTCTGTAGCATATGAGGTCAAATGACACAAGGAGAGTGAGAGGGGTTCAGTTGCTGCTTTGAGGCCTTACCTGGCCAACATGAGGTTGGCGCTAGGGTTGTTGGTCCCGGGGCCTGTGGGGCTCCACTTGATGGTGTAGATTTCTTTACTGTGGGCCTGAAGGTCATGGACACACAAGTCCTGCTTCATACTCCAGATCTATGCCAGAGAGGAAGAAGCCAGCTGTTACTATGGCTTTTATTACAGATGACCTCAACACATCCAATCAGGTGTTTGTCTGATTCAGGTCCATTTCTGTGCTTATCTTAGCCATTGAGTCACTGTATTACATCTGCATGTTATGTGGACTGACCTTCAATGTCATGTCATCCGAGCAGGAGGCCAGCAAGCTGCCAGTGGGATCCCACTTGATGGCATTCACCTCATTCTACAAAATAAAAACATTATTGAGCTGTGAAGATATGCACCTTANNNNTCCATCAGATGCTACAGTGAGTCACATTCAGGATTCATATTAGCTATCCCACAATGCTTCAAGTACAGGAGTGTATTCAGAAGGTTTCCCTTTCCCTCCCTGTCAGAAAGCTCACACACCCACACACAGTAGTCCTGTCTTACCGTGTGTCCCTGGAAGGTCTTGACAGGTCTGTCCTGACCCAGCTTACACACATGGATGCACATGTCTGTGCTGCAGGAGGCAAACGTGTTGTTGCTCTGCCAGTCTACGTCCAGAGCCGGTGCTGTTGGGGGGCGGAGACAGAGTTTAGGGCCGCTGCAGCAGTGAGGTAGATTTTCCATTGCCACATTTAATCTGATAATTTTATAAATGGAAAAAAAACACTCTTGCATGAAAGGGCATGTGGAACAATCGAGCAACTCCTGTCACTCACCCGAGTGGAAAGGAAATTGTTGCTTCGCCTCTCCTGTGTGTGCGTCCCAGATAATTGTGGTCTGTGTGAAGGAGGAGATTTTCATTATTTATGCTAAAATTAATATTGATCATGTTAGAAAGTCAACAAATACATCACATACATTAACACAAAAGTGTTCTTAATACCGAGCACAGGTTGAGGAGGAGACACGAAAGTTCATATATGACACACACACCTAAGGCCTTTACATACTTGCAAGATATCAAGGCGACACTGTATGTCATTATACTTTAGGTCACTAGATGGCAATGTTGAACAATGTCCACAAATTGTTGTAATTTTGTGACAGGACGTCAGCGTGTCTATCTGACTTTCTGTCAGTCCTTAACATTTTGTGTTGGTGTAAGCAGTCTCTGACATGTAGGTCTACACTGAGGACAGCACACAATATCTGCCCAGACCTGTCTGTGGTCCACCCGCATGCTAACAGATGTCAGCATATGAATTCACAGTAGGCAAGGGACAAGATCCTGGTTTCCGTTTGTATTTTGAGTAGCTTTGATTGTTAGTATTTGAGTGGGTTTTGGTTGCAAATAAAAGTAATAAGTACTGCACAGATTAGATTGAACCCATTGGCTATGATCTGATGACAATTTTGCTTTTTATCAGCTTTTAAAAAAAAAATATATCTGCATTCATGCCTCAAGGCGTTGATTATTTCGGCTTTATCATCCTAGAAAACTGTTGCTTCCTGGAAAACAGTTTACAGAACAAAAGAAACATCACATATTTTCCGACAATCCCACAGCTCCCATCAGACTGCCAAACTGATATCACATTTAGCATCATCCCTCACTTTGTTACATCCCACCTCAACATCCTGTCTCCATGGAGAATATGTCAAATTCTAATTTGAAAGCAGATTTAAAGTGGTAACTCTGAATACGGAATAAGCGGCAATGCCCCCAAGAGCAGCCCAGATGCATTTATCAAACTTATTCAACTCTAAAGTTAAAAGCTAAAACTCAATGGGACTTACCTTGTCTACACCAGCACTGAGGATGAAGTTTCCTTTTTTATTCCACTTGAGTGCAAATATAGGACCTTTATGCTGACCCAAAGTACTGGCCAGGTTTCCTAAAAATATAAAAATGCAACACAACTTGGAAAGAGAGCAGAAACATTTAACCATCCATGCATCTTTGCAAAGCTACGATGAAGCGAAAGAGAAGAGTCTTACCATCTTTTGTCCATATTCTAGCAAAGCCATCATATGAGCCTGTTGCTAGCAAGGTTCCCTCACTCTGCGAGAAAGAGAGAGATGATTTACTTGCATTCACGCTTTCTCAGTTTTATTTGCAGATTCTGATCCAAGTAGGACTGTGCCTTATTTTACAGGTATATCCGCGTTGTTTGTTAATGAGGCTCACATTTAGAAGCAAGTCGTTAATGACAGATAAAATATTAGCTGATTTAGCGTTGTGCACTGACTTGTACTACTCAGACAAAAAATAGTTTGCAGCTGAGCAACATAAAGGCCTTTTCCTCTGTGAGAGTGACTCGCCCCCATATATCTGGTTTGAAGGAATGCCTTTAACAGAAGTAGCGGTCATAGGCGCGCGCACACGCACACACACACACACTTGATTAGATTACTAAAATGTGCACTCAATGGAACAGACACACACACTCACTGTTCAACTACACACACACACTCACATTCCAGTCTAGTGAGGTGACGTCTTTGTTGCTGGGTACGTCCTGGCCCCCTTCCCGTATGCAGTGCCTCAGAACCAGCTGGGTGGATCCGCCTGTGCTGTTCTCACTCAGGTTCCAGATCCTTGCAGTTGAGTCCCCGGACCTGCCCGAACCAACACACGCACACACACACAAACACACACAGATACAGACAAAGACACACACACACACACACACACACACACACACACACAGAGACACACACACACACACACAGTAACACACACACACACAGACACACAGACAGAGACACACAGAC